GATAAAAAGATTGTTAAAAGTAACTTAAAAGAATAAAAATATTTTAATTATATTTTAATTATATTTTAATTATATTTAGCAAAATCAAAGGTTTCTGCAAAGTTCGACAGATTAAATAATATTAAAAAAATTGGCCAAGGAGGATTTGGTTCTGTATTTTCTGCGGCCTGGTTGGATGGTATACGAAAAATCGAAGAAATAAAGAAAACTGATGACTATAATAAATATGTGAGAACACGTGAACCATTTAGAACAGTTGCACTCAAAACCTTGTCTGATTCTAAGAAAAATTCTCACGATTTTTTGAAAGAAGTAAGTCAAATCATTATTCATAGTATAATTTATTAAACACATATTAAACTAATTTATTTACATAAATTTACAAAGTTTAAAAATCATGTGAAATGTAGTTGTTTATTTGGTAGTAGGCTCGAAATGTATGGATTAACTCAAAACACAGAAAAAAGTGAATATTTGATGGTATTTCAATATGCAGATGGTGGAAGTCTTTATAAGTTTTTAAGATCAAATTTTCAATATCTTACATGGCTGACTAAATTAAAATTACTTAAAGATATTTCATATGATTTACAACAAATTCATTATGCAGGGTATATTCATTCAGACTTTCACAGTGGTAATATTTTGCAAGATAAAGGCACTGGTGAGATTATACGATCTCGATCTTATATCTCAGATCAAGGATTATCTAAAGAAAAAGATAAAAATGATTCAGAAAGTTGTATTTATGGAGTCATGCCTTATGTCGCACCAGAGGGTTTATCAGGTCAAAAGTTAACAACAGCTGCAGATATTTATGGATTTGGAGTCATCATGTCAGAGATGTCAACTGGACAAAGACCTTTTGATGGTTGTAAATTTGATGATGAACTTGCAGTAAAGATTTGCTTTGGATTACGGCCTGAATTTGCTCCTGGTACTCCTGATTGTTATATTGAATTAGCTAATCAATGTATGGATTCTGATCCACAAAAACGACGTACTGTTGAAGATGTTCGGAAAAAGCTTAACGAATGGAATAAAACAGATGAAATTAAAAAGCAATTCTTAAATGCCGATAAAATAGTCAAAAAATTGCCAATCATTTCATCAAAACACTCTGATTTTATGTACACTAGCAAGATTATCAACGCTCAAAGAATATCAGCAATTCTAGGTATTATTAATTTTTAAAAAAATTACGCTATATCATCTATCTATTAAAACTAATTATGATTATATTAGCAACCTTACAAAGTAAACCTATCGACTCCATTGAAGTTCTTCTTGGTAAGTATTACAGCACACGTATATTAAACTACAACATTTATAATTAAACAAATTTATTACTCATTTTATATTGGTATCTAGATTATTAAGGTTTAAATTTATTACTCATATTCATTATTTATATTTTAATTTTACTTTTTCACTAAATGCTACAAGAAAAAAATTTGTGATTAAAAACCTTTTATTTTAAAATTAAGCTATATATTTTTTATAATTAATGTTAGTAGGAGTAATTTTTCGATAATAAAGCTTTCTGTAAATATCCAGAATTATTTCTAAACAACGATTATACGATGGCACAAGAATTAGGTGTTGGAAAATAGCATAAAAATATTACATTCGTCCTCCTCTACAGTCACCTCACACCCTCTTTATAAGCACCATTTTTTGAAAAAAATATATTTAGAGAACCTGTTTTTCCACACCCTATGTAGATCACTCACTTTTAAAACCTTTATCGAAGGTATCTCGACAACCACTTAGTGAAATTCGATGAACTTTTTTTATTTGAATTCTATGAATTCATAAAATTCAAATAAAAAAAAGGTTATTGAATTTTATTTGGTGATTGTCGAGATACTTTTGGTCAAAGTCATGCTTAAATTTGTCGCGGCTAACATTTTAATAGACGTTTAAAATTTTTCTAAAACTTTCAACGATGCTATCTTGATAAACACCTAATGAAATTCGGTAAAAAATTTTTTACTTGAATTCTGTGAACCCATAGAATTCAAATTAAAAAAAGTTTATCAAATTCACTGAGAGGATAACCTCTCTGAATGCGCCAAAGGATCTGTCCCGTTCTCTAAATATTGCTTATAAAATTATTCCTCAAATGTACACACAACAAAGCAATATTATAAAGCAATATATAAATTCATTGAATGATACTAGTTACTTGTTTCTTAGGGACAGGCAAGAATATTTGATCAAATACATCAACATAAGCCTTTGTTTATTTAATATATATCACTAGTAGTATTAACTTACAATATTTAATGCCAAATTGTAGACATTACACACGGCGCTGAGATTTGAATCCTTTTTCAACCAAAATTCGCCTTACAAGACCAACTCTTTATCCAGATATTTTAATTATTCTGAAAGGACCTGACGAAATAAATATTATATGACTAAATATTTAAATATGGGGATATTTGTTAAAAAATAAATATCTTATTTCCTTGATGGCCATTTTCACTTTTTCGGTATAACATAGGTATATATTATTAAAAATTATCACTATGTGTGATGTCAAATAAATGACCTGTCGGGAAGTAACCATCTGGAAAACTGGATGTAACCTTTTATAAGATATATTAAATTGTATTGTTTTCGCTAATGCAAGATCTTTGGCTATTTATATACAATGTTTGATATGAATATTATAGTCACTGTTCATAATTTGAAATTTATCCGTTAAATAGATTTCGAATCAACTTTAAGTTGATTCAAAATTCTTTGTCTAGAAGTTTATTCATCTTAGTATTACAATATTATTATGGAAGAAGCGCACAAGTTGAATTGCCTGAATTTGGGAAAGATTTTACGACTAAACCTTGCCGTTGCACGACTCCACGAAAATTTTAGACGTTATGCGAATTATTTAACGCTCACAATATTAATATCTAATTTTGAACCATATTTTTTTATACAGCATAATTTGAAAAACGTATTTAAGATTTATGATAAGGATAAAAATACAGCAATTAAACTTCTATAACGAATTACACTACAGTGATCTTTTTTAATATATGTATGTATATAATTCGTATAAAAATTTATTCATAGAACTTTGATTTTAAGAATTGTCAGTTCGTTATATAGAAATATGAAAGTATCATTTTAAATAAGTCTTAGCATGAATACGACAGTAGTAGGAAAAACATTATTTATTTAAGTATAATTAAGAAATACAGGCATAAGAGTTAGTGCCTTAAAAAATCAAGTTTAGTCGTAAGATTATTTTTTAAGACAAAATAGTTTTAAAACAAAATTATTCGAATAGAATATAATAGAAGATAATAGATTATTTAGTGTTTAACTTGAGTAAACGATTAGATAGCGTGGCATAATTGCCTGCAATATAGATATTAATATTAATTTATTCAATATTCTATTTTACTTAAAAAACATACATATTAAGTAAATGTATTAACAAACCTCCGCACGGGCAACCTTATACTCGTAACCTGATGTATATGATGCGCCTACGACATCAATGATAAACATGGCCCTTGACGAATCTGTACCAACGTTGGTGTATCCATGAGAGTACCATGCGTCGGGAGAAAACCAAACGTGACCTATGATTTTTTTTTTAGAAAAAAAGCTTATTACTTAATAAAAAATTCATAAAAAACTTGAATTACTCACTATTGTTCAATTTAAATCCTGTTCGGATTATACCGCACACACAACAAAATGTGTTTTTACAAATTCTTGAACTATTTAAGTTTCTAATGGCACAGGCATTTTTTGTGCCATGAAAGTATTGGTCGCAACGGAGACTTGGATTATTTTTTTTATAAACTTCATGATTATTTGTAATATGCTTAGGCATTTCTACTTTAATTATCGAATGTATTTGTGCATTATATTTTCCAGCCATCTTTGAAGTAAATTTCGATTGAACCGTCACATATTCATTAGAGCCAGGTTGTAAAGGAGTTACTGTTGCTGTTGTCATGTTAGAAAAAAATTGAGAGAGAAAGGTATTCATTTCTTTGATCGTTAGAAACCTTTTATTTAGATTTTATAATTTTTTAAAATCAATATCAAAATTCTATTTTATTAACTTTTACCATCAATGTTAAATATAAGGATGAGTTACGCGTCAAAATTCTATTTTGCATGAAACCTATTGTATTTTTTCGCGATCCGTCTAAAGTTATTATGTCCTTATCAATACAAGCATAATTAACAATAATTATAATTCTTTTTAACTACTTTACTTATACGGTCACATTTTCCAAACTATTATGAGACGTTAATTTTATTAAATCCAAGTATAACGCGTAGTTAACGCGTCTATAACACAAAGACAATCCACTTATGAGAGATTCTGATTTATTTTAACTTATTACGTGAGTATAACATTAATATTAGATTTATTCGATTATTCGAATAAGGTAAACCGAGTTTAAGTTTACAAGTATTATTATAATCTAAATCAACAAAATCAATTTTTTAATTTTACATCCGGATCATTAAAGTTATATAATTGATTATTTTTTACCTTTACATGATTGTCTATAAAATTTAGCTCGAAGGAATTTGCATTCGTATGTAAGTATAATAAATTCGTTCAACGTAAAGTTCAGAGTTTATTAAAAATCAAAATTTGTGGTTTCAAAATTGGTTTAACCAAAAATATACAAATATGATATATACAACCTATTCAAATATAACATACTATAGTGATGACTAGTAATGATCAAAAGAACTTTAAGAACTTTAAAAAATCACAAACCTAATAAATTTAATCAAGAATATGTATATACATTATATACATTATTATAAATTTTCTACCCAAAATGTTAAAATGTTATTTAAAAGTTTGAACTTTAAAGTAAAACAATATACAATCTTTATACAGTACATTTATGAAACATAATTACACGTTTGTACAAGTGAAAAATGAATTGTTCAATCTCAAAAATAATTACAATGAATAATCAACGAATAAATCCAGTGTCCAAATAGATGGTTCTCTACCCCTGTTTTGACGTTTTAACTCAGCAAGATCCTATAACGATAAAATTATATATAAGAATTAATACTTGATGATAATAATACATTACTTTTTTAATTTATTTGTTAAGATTAAGAAATAAATTACCGCAATAACAGCATTTACACCAGCTCTTGTTTGTAATTTCACGTTCTCAGGGTCATTGTTTTTTCGACCATAAGTAAAAAGTAATAAGCCAGCATTTTTAATAACTTTAACTAATCCTGGAGCTTCAACAATAGGATCAGAATTAGTAACAAGTCCTGATAAACCAGCAATTTTAGCAAATCTAATTGCAGCTTGTATAGAATTACATCTAGCATCAGCCATAAATGAAACTCCACAATCGGTTAAGAAAAAAACCGGATAACTTGATTGCTTATACCTAAGCATTAGGCAAATCTCTGGATGAAATGATGAAAAAATAATTTTACGTCCTGGTTGTGCGTAGTTGTATACGCATTTGAGAATCTTATCACAAAACGTATTTAATTCTGTACAATACGCTGGAAGTTTCGAATCTTCAGCTTCATTAATCACTGGATATTTTACTTCAATGTTGAAGCCGAGCTCGGTGGGAATTTCCCTGGACTTTAAATATAATATAAACAATTAAGAAAGATTAGAATACAATTTATGCAACAAAATAAATAAACAATTAAGAAAGATTAGAATACAATTTATGCAACAAAATAAATAAATAAAGAGTTCGTTATAATTACTTTAAATGCATCTTTTAATTTGATAAAAGGCACCTGGATTGTGCCAATACCGTTCCCTTTCATTTTTCCTTGATTATTTTCATCAGTTCGCCTATATTTTATCTTATTAAGTGAACTCATACTACTAGATCTTTGAAGCCTTCTAAATGAACTTGAGTTAGGTGTACTATCAATATCTCCTTCAGAATTCGGAGGTGTCATACTATTTTCTTCGCGAAAATTAATTACTGAATTGTCTCTTTCTTTTTTTTTTAATTTAATGAATTGATCTGAATTTATAGAATGTATCGGGATATCACAACCTGTTTCTGTAACATTCCAATCATGATAAATGACTGGCTTCAGGTCTTTAGTAAGTTGACAATCTATTAATGAAAAGAATTAATTAGATTTATATTCATTGAATAAAAAGAAAATAAAAAAACACTATACCAAATTCTATATATTCTGCACCAATTAGAGCCGCAGCTCTAAAACTTTCCACAGTATTCTCGCCCACTTGGAGCCTCAAAGTCTTATCATTAGCTCCCATCCCACGATGACCAATCAATTTGGTATTTGATGATTCCCAAGATGTAAACCTATTTCTGTCTGCTAAATTTCTATGATTGAAAGGTTTAACAACCGAAGATTCAAATCGTATCTGACCAATATCATCCATTTCCGATACTCCAATTATAGGAATTGTGACAGATCCCATAAGAGAAGAATAATTTGGTCCAAAATATGTTTTCACTGATGAAAGCATTGCAATTGCTCGACCTATCAGTTGAGCATCATAAGTTGATATTATATCAAACATTAATCTAACATTGTTTATATCATGCGCATAAAACATCATTGGATCAATTGTAAAGTTATCATCAATTGTAGAGCTATCTCTTACAGGAAGGTCAATGGTAACCTTTTCTCCAGTAGCATTTTTTGCCCAAATAACAATAGAAACAGGTGTTTTTATTGTATTATAAAGTTCAATAGGTGCTATATTTATACGTGCATCTGTTGTTCCAAGTGTCACAAATATTAATGATTGATCTTGGAGATATTTTCGTTCGGCTATATTATCTTGGGATGATACCATTATATTATGATCTGCTGAAAAAGAAGAAAGAATGGTTTCCCTCGGAGGACGTAAAATGTCTATCATTTTAAAGTGACCATGAAACACTGCATGCATATGTGGAGTCCACCCAGAATTATCTACAATATTAATATTAGCTGCTGATTCTCTTAATACCGTAACTGTTTCTTTGTGGCCTTCGATCACTTTATAAATGATAATATTCAACTAATTAATATTTAGCTTATAATGTTAAATGAGTCAATCGAGCGCATTACCTGCTAAGAATAATGGTGTCCATCCATTATATTTTTCTCTAATCTCTTTATTAGCATCCTTATCTATCAATAATAAACAGCATTCGGAAGAACCACATCTGGACGCCTGGTGCAAAGGTGTTTCACCATCTTTATCTTGTACATCAGGATTTGCTCCGTGATTTAACAATAAGTCGACCATCGAATCATAACCAAGTTTACATGACATCGCAAGTAAAGTTTGTGCTGTAGTAGAATTTGGTACTAAAGAGGTGCATCGAACTATATAATTTAATTCATTGATTAGTTCAACAGTATGCAATTTTCATTAAAATTATGTATACAATTATAAACGCTAAATATTAGTTTATAACTGATTATTCACTATGATACTATGTGTATGACGTTGCTGAAGATATACAGTGTCTGTTGTGAAGAAATCATTGACTAATAATTAGGTTATCCGACATGTCTGACGTGTAAGTGATGAGTGAATTTTTTACAAATTGTATTAGGAGTATCAAAAAAGTTATACAAAAATAATTCAGTGATCACACAAGATACATGACACATCGGATATGCTAAAGTTCTTACCATTACTGACGGCATCCAATCTCTCACCAGTAATCTGTCCAATTCTTATGATACAATCTACAAGTTGAACATTGTTTTTCAATGTCGCATAAAACAACGGTGAATACCCATCACCATCAAACCATACACGATCATTAAAACCCGCCTCTAACGAAAATTGCCCAGTTCTTTTCAAAAACTCTAAGAGCGTTTGTGTTATTTGTACGAGCCCTTTAATTGCTGCGTAATGTAAAGGACTTTTACCATAAACATCTAGAGATAAAGCTTGAGAATCTGAAGGATGATGATCAAGAATACAGGCAATAATTCTTGGATCATCAGGAATTAAAATAGGTGATGAAACAGATGATGAAATAGATGATGAAATAGGTGGTGTCGTGACATTTCCTTTTGGCAAAATACCACCATGAATTACTAATTTATGTATCAGTGAACGCTCGTTAATGTCCTCTTCGTCATGAATATTTGCACCTGACTCTAGGAGTAGTTTAATACATTCAAAGGCTGGGTGACAACACGCTTTATAAAGCATCGATTTCAAAGTCTGAAATTATAAACAAAAGTTAATAAATAATAAATTCAAAGGCTGATCAATACATAAATAAAATAATGAAAAATACCTTTCGGACTATAGGATTTGCTTGATTAATTATTCTATTATCAGAAAATGCACCATTAGTTTCCCTTATAATCAATTCACGGAAAGCACTCTCATCATCATTTCTAATCGCATCGAATAAATCTGAACTATTATGAGTGACATTTTCATTATCTACAACTTGGTGTTCTACCTCATTAATCTCATGAATCCATTGTTCAATTGATCCCAAAATATTGATTAATGTTGAACTCGAGGCGAGTGGAAGTGTATTGACCTAATTTCAAAAAATTATATCAAATTTGATTAAAATAAAAGGATGATAAACATTCTATTATCCACGTTATAACAAGATAGCTCGATCCATTACACTAATAATTCGTAAATTTCCAGCGTTTAAATATTATTTTAGAACACGAACCTTTGTATTTAGATAATCGTCTCTTATATTACGCTTTAATTTTTTATCATATCTTTTGTATAAAGAAAAGGTAAAAATTAATACATTAAAAATAAAAAAAAAAGATAAAAAAAATCATTAATACTTTTTTAAAATTTTATTGCATGCTTTTATATTTAAATCGGCAAAGCTTAGGAGGTTATTTATTTTATTTTTTGTCTCTGACAAGTCTGATAAAAGTTCTGAAGAAACTTCTTTATTAAAATTTGAATTTTGATGTAAACCATTAATTCCATTTAAATTTCCATTTAATGTATTATTACGAAGATTTGGATATTTTTCCGATAATTCTCTAAATATGTTCTCCTGATGTACAAAACACTCATTGGCTTTATTAAGTTCGCAGTCAAGAGCCGAGGGAAATTCTTTATCAATTAATATAGAAAATGATAAATGGTAAATATCATGAAATTTAATGTATATGTCAGAAATTATATGGTATAACATTTATTATGCCGTATAATACCATTTTTATTATACGTGATGGTATAATAACATTGTGTCATATCACTTTTACATATAAAATGATTATATAATAACGGTATAATATTTATTATCCTGTATAATTCCCAACCCTATCTGAAATAAACTTAAAATATTACCTTCATCATTGAATACACCATTTCTTTGCAAATTTGTTACCAAATCACTTATTAAGCTTTTCAAAGTCTTATATGAGATATAATAACTATTTACAGGAATTTATATAGTAAATATATATATTTTATGAAGATTTGATTACGAAAAGTTCTAGATATCTTACCCAGACCATTCTGGTATTTGGCTTTGAAGTAAATATTTGCCAAACTTCATTATTTTTAATCGAAATTATTACCAAAGAATTTGACAAATTTTATCCAGGATGTATGTAAGGAGGAAATTTTAATACTCAAATGGTGTTATTATTATATTTATATTTATTTAATAATATAATAATCAAAGTGATACAAAAATTACGTTTTTGATCAACACTTATCAGAGCCGTATCAAAAAGGCGATCGCACGAGCCCTTAATTTTTATATCTTTTATTTTCATACTTTAGTGTAACAAAAAATCACATACACATTTTTATATTCATTATATGATAGGTTCATGACTAGGGTTAGTACAAATTTGAACGGCATTACATCAATATGCAATAGTTTAATTATAAACGTAATGCCTATCACAAATAAATGCTTTAGGATATTATCTTGCTTAATCTGGCTAGTTCGTGCTTTAAAATCCGCTCGAGCAGCATTTACATATCGATATATAAACTGAATGTTCTAAACTGTTTATACATATATATATATATACTAATAGCTATACTTTATGAAATATACGTACGTACGTATATTTTTTGTATTTTTTGTACTGTAGTACGATTGCTGCCCGTACAATCGTTTCTGAAAGTTAAGAGGGTTGCAATTTTCTTGGCAGCAGATAATTATTTGAAATTGTCATTTTCAGTAATTCATAGGAAGCTAAACTTTCTTTATTATTTTACCTAAAATGTTTAATTGTAAAAGAAAACCTGCATTACATCGGATAAATTTGATGGCAATGTTTGTAGTGCTGTTTACCACTATTTTAATTAATTCATCTTAAATGAGATCGCTTTTTTAATCTTTTTAAAATAGTACGTACATAATTATTACTAATACTTCTGGCTCAGTTGCGTTTTGAGATATTATTGAATTCGCGTTAAGTTCGATGTGGAGGTAAGATCACTTTTATTATATTGTTCAACTGTGCTTTCTTTGTTTATTATATGAAGAATAAAATAAAAAAAATAAGATAAATAAAGCTAAGTATTTATAACATTTCTACTAAAAAATTACGCAATTAAAAAAAAAACCTATTTTCTTTCATTATAGTTTGCTCTAAAGGTTGATTTCGAATCCAATTCGAGCACATTAAGTTTTATATTAAATAATTAAATTCTCTTGATCATGAAACTCGTGTCGGGTTTACTGAACTGAATTCAGATATTTAACACCTAATCGAAAATCGCGCTGGTATCGGTAAATTTCGAAAATGCAGACAATGAATAACATTACGAGTTTATCTGTCGGAGAGTTACGGAACATATTCTTGGGCAAAAAAAAATTAGGCGTCTGAAGTGGATGCATATTCCGTAAGTATTTTTTTCCTGATTCACATAAATGATCTTGTTAAATAGACAAATTTCGGGGTTTACCGTAGCAGAAATGATAAATACTTTACACGAGAATGGTCATCAATTCCACTTAAGTTGTTAAACAAAGCGTATTAGAGCCTATCGTTAAACAATTGGATATATCAATATAACAAGAAGTAGAAAAATTGCAGAATTTTCTAAGAAAAATCAGCACAGAATATCGCAGAATTTTAAAATATCGTAACATCGGCATAAATTTAAGCGGCACCAGGAAATCCCGGAAATGTAGACAATAAATCAACGTAATTTACGAGCACGTTAGTCGGGGAGTTGCGGAATTATTACTAAGAGATATCATAGAATAGTAAGAATTAAGTCGCAGAAATTACAAGAGATATCACAGAATTTCACAAAAACACATCACATTATATCACAAAAATTAATTAATCACACGCAGAATTTGGCTTTATTCACCACAGAAAATCATCGTCCCTGGACCCAGATAATTTAATGTAAATGAATGATTGTATTGCATATATTTGTATATATTTCAAACAATTATGTACGTTGTAAGTATAAATTAAGTTCTATAAAGAACTACAGTGTCTATTATTAATTATATATTTTTTAAAAAAGCTAACAATATTATATAGAATTAAAATCAAAATAACCCATGGTGATCGTCACCACCCTAGATATATTTAGGGTTAGTGATGGGTGACGCATGACGAAACCATTTCGTCAGGCAACTTCGAATTGACGAAATGACGCATGACGCGACTTATGACGCATGAGGCGACGCATGACGCAACTTATGACTATACATGGGTGCTTAATTATTTTCGAAAAATCGTACTTTCGGCAAACATTTCAACATTGCTAAATATTTTATATGAAACCCTTCGAAAGAACTATATTATATGAGTGCC